GCCCGTGCGCGACCCGCCGGGCCGGACAGGTAGGAGCCGCCCACGCCCGGCCTCGCCGCGCGGCCGTCCGGCTGAGCCGTTCACGGCCCTTGTGTCCTAGGACTCTGCAAGAGAAAACGGAGGTTTATGGGCATCACGGTGGCTTAGGTGATGTTGTTCCATGTCACCCACTCATCCTTGGGTGCTTGTGCAGGTCTTGGCCATTTCTTTCGTTGCTGCTGTAACAAAAAGAGGATACGAAGGGGGATTTTCCATTGCAGTCCTTAGCGCAAAGAGCCCACTATATCTAGCGTCTGCTAGGTAGCAAATATTTACTTTTGGGAATAGCCTAGTTAGTGGCAGTGTTCCCATGAAGGCAGATTTGCAAAACTTGACCTGCTACGTGCTGGGGAGCATGAGCATTTAGAGCAAAATATCAATTATTTTAATAAAAGACCTATCCAGCAGTTGTCAAGTATAATGGTAGTTGTTGCAGCGTGACTAACTGCTGTCACCTAGTGTATTCCTATTTCAAATGAGACTAAAAATAGAATTGTCTGTGTAGAGTGATTCCATAATATACTTTGTCCTTTGCTAATTATTGCTCATAATTTTTGAGAACTGCACATTGTAACTTAGCTCTCCCAATACCAGATGATTTTCCTGTGCAGATGAGGGAATTAAGTTGCAAACAGCCAGTCCCATAACATAGGGCAGGGAGAAGCTTTTCTTAGGAGCCTCTTTGGGCTTTGCCTTTCATTTAGACCTTTGGGCTAATAATTTGGAGTCACATCAAATCCACCCTATTCTGTGCAGCAAGGGTGAATCTTGCTGGGCCTACCAGAGACTTCAGCCATCCATGTTGAAGCTAGGCATTATACATGTAAATTCTTCTCTTCAGCACCCACTTCCCACAGGTCTTAGGCAGGCTTGAGAGAGAATAAGCAAAACTGTTCTGCAAGATACTAAGTGTTTCTACTGCAGAAATCAGTCTATGAAGGCAAGCTTGAATAGTTTGTAAAGAAAAAAAAAAAACACAAGTGCAGCATGTTTATTGCAACATGCTTCAATGCTTTTTCATAGAAGCACATTACACCCTGCCCTCTTTTTCAAAATGCACATCTGTACCTAGATTTCATCAGGACAAGGAAGCATTTCACAAAACATCTGCATAATTGCCAGTTGCCCAACCCTGCCGAGCAGAGAGGCAGGGAGACCTCCTGCCACCTCACACCCTGTTCCCGTCCTGCTGGTGCCCTCGCCGTGGTCACCTGGCTGGACACCACAGCAGCACGTGGGGCGTGTTGGCCTTTCTTGCCTTTATTTATTTACTGCCTCCCTGCAGAGAAGCCCCTTGTGCTGCCCTCGTGGCAGCCCTGCCGTGGGCCATGGAAAGGGCCTGGCACATTTGCCCTGCCTCCTCTTCCTGCCAGTTCTGCAGCTGCTCCGACAGCAGAGACGTGAGTGTGTGTGTGAGGTCTGTTTCCAATTTAGCAGGAGGTGGATAGGCTCCAAGGCCAGCAAACCCAGCGTGCAGCAGATATGTTTATAAATGAGGGAACTGATGCCACGCTGCTTAACACTGCCGCTCCCAGCCTGGATCCCGCCACCCGCCCCAGCAGACCACCCCTATGGAAAAAGAGCCTCTGTGGGAAACAGAGCGGCTCTTCTGTGCCATGTCCTCCAGCCTGGCAATGGTGTAGAGAAAGAAAACGGGGCTTGGTTTGAGGGTGAAAGGAAGCAGGGTTTGGTTTGGACCTCTGTGGTGTCCTGCCTTCCAGCTGTAACTTCTGCTCGCTGTGGTCAGCGCTGCTTAGAGTGGCTTAGAAGTGTGTTCAGGGGTGAGCTCGGCTCCAGAGCTGCCCCACCGAGGCAGGCAGGCATGTGAGCGTGGCGGTGCCTTTCTGCTCACGCGTACCTGCCTCTGCCCTGCCCTGCGAGTCGGCGTGAGCTCCCGCAGAGCCGGCAGGGCCGGGAGGCGGGCGCCGAAGGCCCCGCATTGCCAGGGCTCCCGCTTTGGGCCGGGGGCCGCACGATTCCCCTCTCCCGCGGCTAGCGGGAGGCGGCCGATGAGCAGCAGCGCAGTCCTGCTCCAGGCCGTGTCCGTGTGCTGCTCTCCTGCAGGGCCACTGCCGCCGCCACCGCCGCTGAGCCGGAACGGCAGCACGTCCCGAGCGCTGCCGGCCGCGCCGCAGCTGCCCTCCCGCGAGGGCCAGAGAGGAGCGGGACCGCGGCCGCCGCTGCCGCCCGAGCGGCCGGGCACCGGGGCGCCGCCACCACCGGCCCCCGCCATGAGGAACGGCTACCAGGAGCCGGGCGACGGTAAGCGCGGCCCGCGGGGCGGCCTCGCCGTCCACGCAGACACCCACCCCCTGACCGAGGCAGGTGATCGCTCACGTAGCGATAGCTGAAAAACAGGCAAGGGAAGGAATTGGTACAGAAATGCAGAAAATGACGCTTTCCCAGCGGTGTTTCTTCTCACTTTACTAGTGCTGATTGGAAAAAAAGTGAGGTTCACCGTAGCCATGCTTTAAAAACTCATTATGCTTTTCTTTTTAATTAAGGCTTATATTTACTCTGCATGGATAAGCCTTTCCAGGTAAATTATAAACTCCAAAATTGCCATTTCTGACATATATAAGGTTAAAAAAGAGGATAAAACAGTAATTAACCCCTTTAAGCTTTCTTTACACCTCTGATAAGGCAAGTAGGTCACAAACACATTTTTTCCTACTGAAGTCACTATCAGGGTTTAGAACCTGCAGCTCCTTCACCTACTGGTATGCAACTATTAGAAGTAAAGAAAGAAAAACTGGATCTCAGAAAATAACCACATGTTCAGCTGCTGGGAAAAACTTACTCAGCTGTTCATTACATTATGCAATAGAATAAAATAATATTGCAAGATTGTCATGGTTGCAAAGTCCTGAAGCAACCAAGTCAGGAAATGACCAAGTTGGAGATGGCCCATATTTTCCTCCTTGAGCATCCAAATTCAAGTACAAAACAGACCTGCAGAAAGAAGGTTTTCTTGTTATTTTAACTGAGAAACAGATCAACTTTATTGTTTAAAACTCTGAAGTATGTTAACAAGATTTCTGTATTTCTATGAGATACTAATGTATTTACTATTTTTCACACTACTTGTATGCTATGAGGTCCTCTGTCATCATAAGTTTTATCACAATGCCCACAAATATTCTTTTTCCCATATAGAAGTTGAAACCCAAAAAACACTGCGTACAACTCAGATTGCTTTTAATGAGCTCTTTATGTCAAAAAAGTTTAAACTTCAGAAAATTATACACTCAGGAATGAAATACCGTTCTGTAGGAAACATTATGCATTTCTAATTGCGTGCATATGTATGTGTATTTATATAATCAGTTGGCTCTATTACACATGGAAAGGAATATAGCACTGATTTCCATGGAATAACAGGCACTTCCCAAATCTGTGACTTTGCATTAGCTTGGCTGAGTAATCAGTTAAAAGTTAATTTTCACTCTCAAGCTAACCTAAAATTGCTTCTTCCCTAACTTCTCAATAGGACCCTGGTTCTATTCCTGAGCATTTTGCAATATAAATCATGTATTAAACATGATACTACTGTCAAAAGACTTTCTGCAACCCCACCATAAAACTAACAAGTAAATCCTGGGGATTTTTTTTTTTTGCTTTGTTTTGTTTTTCAGATGAGTGGGAAAGCAGATTTTCTTTTCATCCTATATCTGACTTACCACCTCCAGAGCCATATGTACCTGTGAACAAAAGTTATCCAAGTAAATTAGCAAGAAATGAAAGCAGAGGTAAGTTTGTTCCAACTCTGTTGCTGAAGTTTCGGTCTGTCAGTTATGAATTTAAAAGGGTTAGCTCAGTATATACCAGTTTTCCCAATAAGCAGTAAATATTTGATCAGTTGAAGACAATTACAACCAGGAATAGTTTGGCTCCTTCAGTCTTAATTCCTTTTTTGATCCTATTTTTTTATTAGCACAAACCAATCATCCTAAAAGACAATGTGGATGGAGAAGAGATTGGGTACTGATGTTTCAAGGCTTCGGATTAATAGCCTGATCACCATTCACAGAATCACACAGAAACTATTAAATGCAGATTTGCAGATAAAAGCCCTCTTAAAATGGACTTGCTTTTTCATTTTCCATCCAAATTCATTCATGGTTCAGCTATTCTAGGGTCACCATCATCCTTTAGTTTAATTATCCCCTTGCTTTTGCATGTTAAAGGACAACAGCCATACTGCTGCTCAGCCTCTGTTTTGCTGGGCTGACTAAACCAGGATGTACTAGGCTCTTCTTTCGAGATAACATTTCCATTTCACTGATTATCAGTGTTGCTTCTGTATACACTTCAGCTTGAATTTGTCTTTTCCGATCAGTGTTACATGCTGTTCCAGTTGAGGTCTCACCCATGTCTAGAGCGGCATAAATACTTCCTACCTCCATTAGTGGTATTTTGCCTGATACACCCAGGGATCAATTTGCTTCTTTCACAACTAGTCGCATCAGTGTCTCATAGTTAGCCTGTAATCATCTGTACACTCAGATGTTTCTCTGTCTCTCTCTGCTGTTTCCAAATTATGAGGTTTGGAGTAGAAATTCCTGTTAGTCCGTGACCCTTCACTTTGCACTGTTAGCTTTCATCTCTTCCTTTTACTCCAGAAGGAAAGGCCAAGAGATATGCACATTTATATTTATTTTCACGAGTTTGGAGTGAAAACCTTCATATGGGTAATATATTAATAGCTTTGAGCTCTTACTATATTCAGAGCTTTCATTGACAATTGCATTTGTTCCATTGGCACTAAGGCCTTATGTATTTGCATAAGATAGTAAGGCTAACAAGAGCTATTGATCCCTTCTGAGGAAGGCCCAAAGGGCAGGAATGCATATGCTTCCCAAGCATTTGTGGGTAGCATTCATTAAAATACAGTTGGTATAGTGTTGTTTAATAAACTAACCAGCAACCCGACCCAGACCTGGTAAAACGGTTAGACAAAATGCAGAGTTCTTCACCAGTTATGTAATGAATGGCTTGAACTCTCATGTGAAAAGAAGCCAGGAGGAGTAAAACAAAACTTCTTTTCTCTTGCAGGTGGCTCTGGCCGAAAAGAAAGAGGTGCTCCCCCTCTTCCGCCTATACCAAGGTGAAATGGGTCCTGGCCCATCCCTGGGCAACTTCTGCTTTAAAGTTTCCTTCCAGTCAGCTTTCCTGTCCACATCATCGGAAAGTAGTCTGTCTTGCTTTATTTCTACCTTTGGCTTGTCACCTGGAATGAACTTTGCTCTCTATTACAGGAGAGATGCAGCTTATGAACTACAGTTGCTTAAAGCTACCCAATTTATTTGCTTGTATTGCAGGCTGTCATCCATACATTAGGGGTATGGGGTCCAGCCCTGTACCCTTGAGTCCAATGGGAGATCTGACTTTGAATCCAATGATCCTGGAACAAAGCTGTCTCATTCACTTGGGGTACAGTGGCTGTATTAGTTGAATGAGAAAGTGCAAGCTATTTTCAGTTTAAAAAAGAGTTACCAGAGAATACTGCATAGCCAAGAGTCCTGGCTGTGGTTCTTTGGCCCAAATGCTTCTGCAAGCCGCTGTTCTACCACATGCTGACCAAGACTTCAACCTACATCTTTGCACCTCAACTTAGCCAAGCAAGCTACGTTTTACACCATGGATAGCTCATCCTGCCCCAAGGATGGAGCGTGTGTGTCTGGCCTTGTTTTTATCTGTGAAGGATCTTCCAAAGAAAAGCACAAATTAAGAATTCAGCAGCATAAATACACCTTCTCTATCTGTCCCACCTTGTTTTGTAATAGCCTTATGCTTTTAGTCACCTAATTCTTTCTACTTTGATGTGGACCAACCCACAGCCATCCATTGCCTGGATTACTGTAATGCTCTCCGCATGAGACTACATGCAAAGTTCCCTCAGAAAGCAGTGCAAATGCAGCAATTATTGCAGTTACAAGCTCTTTCTGTGAAGCCTCGCTAGCATCAGTGCTCTGCAGATTGCACAAGCTCTCCAGTCATTTCTTTGGTACAATTAAATCATGGGGGTTTTTACTTAAGAGGCTTCTTGGGGTTTGGCTCACAAGTCTCATAGAGAGACTCTTTGACTTATAGCAGAGCAGCTGAGGTCAAAAAAATGTGCGTAAATGAAAGCCCTCTGACTTAAAGAGGTCTGAGGTTAGCATATGGAAGCATCAGCTTCAGAAATTGCTGTTTTCACTCATTCAAGAGAAATGGAAAGAATTGGCTTCTGAGTGTGCCATGAAGCCTGTCCTTTCAACTCATGCTGCAAATGACAACAGCAGAAAGCTGCCACCCTTGCATTAGTAGAAGGAAAGGTAAAGTGTTCTCACATTGTGACAGTCAGTTCATTTGTTTAATGGCTTTTGAATTTTGTTTTCAAGAAAAGAGTTAATTAAGTCTTATGAGAGGAAGACTATAATTCTGGATTTGAAGTATTGCTGATTAATAGCTCTCTTTTAATGGAACTTCTGAAGGTTAGCTCTGGAAAAATTCTCCCATGTCTCGTCAGTGATATCTGCTTCTTCAGCTTACTCTTCAGACTCCCTACACAGCCTGTTATCAGTGGGCATGTTTCACAACATATTGCTCAAAAAAAGAAAAAAGAAATTTTAAAAAAGAGAAAAAATCAGAAAAAGTAGTCAGGTAGGTTAGGAAAATGTCTTCCTGGCATGGGAGATATGATCCTAAGTGCACTCTGAGGCTAGAGTGAGGTCAACCCTTGGGAATCCAGGGACTTTAGCCAAAGAGAGCTTGAACCCCAAAGAAGTGTTTGTGTGTTGGGTCTTCTGCATTGTCAGTGACCACGGAGGCCAAAACCTCCTCCTGCCTTCCAGCCAGAACTGTCCCTATGAAGGGCATGAGACAGAGTTGGATTAGGCCAGACCAAGCTTAATTTGGCCTTTTTGATATTTGTTTACAAAATCATGTTAGCTGTGATAGCATTCGGTTTTGTACCTATTTTTACATTTTTGTATCTAATGACCTACTTTAAGTTACTATTTATGGTCTTGAATCTGCAATTATGTCTGCGCAGGCGCAGGGATGTATCTAAATCTAATTGTAGGATCATGGCTGTAAGAGTTTCTTAAACAGATAATAACGGGACCTCCATGTGACAGGTGCACCTTGGGATCAAGCCCAGTTTAATACTGAATTTGTAAATGTTTTTTTATGGATGTCACTTAAGCATATGCACTATGCAAAGTGCCAATCTCTTTGGCATACTATTATGTGAATAGAAGTCCAAATAAGATTTTTAGGATAATAACTTAAAGGATAAATTATTGTATTCATGTTATTAAACCAAAGCACTTATAACTTTCTGAGAAATTACATTTTGAATTTAAGAATACAGTATTTTCAATAGATTGACCTGCCAAAACCTTATTAATATTCAAGTAGTTATGCAGCCAAAAATCTTAGAAAACTCCAGAAGCTATATTTTTTTCCCTTTTTTTGTAATTTATCTATTTCCAACATGAATGTTTTAATTTGAATAAGTCAATGAAAACGCTGCACGTTGTTCTGCCAATTCTCTGCGCAACTCAAGATATATTCTGTTTGATTTCTCAAGCAAGGTTTTCTGACCAAAAATTCTGGGCAATAACCAAAGACTTGGCAAATCAACTTCAATCTCACTTGAAAATGTGTTGTGTGAAAGGCCTTCAGTCGGCATGCCAGGAAACCTGGGCTGCTTATCTTTTAGCACTCACTATGGAAATCTCTTTGAAATGGGTGTTTGGTATATAGATAAAATACCTTAAAAATGCAAAAAAAAAAGATTTTTTTTCATGTAACAACTTTACTATTTGTAACTTTTTTTTGTAAAATTCCCTAGATTTATTGCAGAACAATGCAGCATTTTAGCCTTCAGTATATCGCTTCATATATCCATAGCTATTTACAATATGATCAGTATTAAAGTATTTATTTCACTATGCAATGTTAAAAAAGAAGAAAATGGAACTCATTGAACCAGTGGTGCCTTATGACTTTTTTAGTCACCTCTTCTGTGTCTCACTGCAAAATCCATAGACCTTGCTGTTCCGTGCCCCGGCGTAAGGCAGCGTTGACGGTAGCGGTCGCCAGCGTTGGAGCCAAGCCCTGCTCCGGTAACACGCTTGGGTGTCTAACTTGAGATTAAGTGTACAGAGGGGCTGCTGAATCGGTGTTTAGGGAGACCAAAGTGGGAACTTCTCTCCCGATGGGAAGCTCAGCAGCAGTTGTTGGTGAGTCTCAGAAAGCAACCTGTGTGCAGAGGCAGCGTCTCCGCACGGCACAGCTGCCCTCAGCGCGGCTGAGCAGGTTGTTAGAGGGCTACGCTGGATCCACGGCTTGCGTATGGGATTTACTGTGATTGGTTTTAATGGAGTTGTAGTAGCAACGTTCACACCTCAAACTACCTTCTTATGTCATCACTAAGACTTGCATTGCGTGACGATGGCCACGGGTGTTCATTTCTGCATAATTCAAACTAGTGAATACAATGGGAATGGCTTTTGCACCATGCAGCAATTATTTCTGCTCAGTATTTTTGGAAGAGAAGCACAAGTTGTGTCTGCACCAGTCCCTGGTAAAGAGGTGACAGCGATTAATATTCAGAGAGGCTACAGGAAACCCAACCTGCGATTTGGGAAGCACACGCTTCTGTAAACGAGCTGCTTACACGCGGCTGCAAGGTCCTGGTTGAGAAGCCAGGACTTCCCAGCATTGAAAGAGTCATGGGAACCAGTGTTTTTTTTTTCTGCAGCAGTGAGCTATTGAGGAAGTTCCTTAGCTTGTCACTTAGAAAACAGGACTGTAGCTTCTACTTGCAGCAGCAGCTGCTGTTTACATGCCACTTGGGGAAGCTGGGCTCTGGGTCCTGGGAGGACCAGGAAATGGAACCACTGTCATGTTTCACATATATTGCAGCACAACACACTTCTGTGCAAAGACATGCACAAAGAAACTGTACTTTTCCCCTTGGAAACAAAGAGTGGACTTGAGAGATCAAACTGGGAATTGCTTCAAGCAGAAGGGCAAGAGATGCAGACGGATGGTCTTTCAGCTGCGGGACTCTGGAAAGAAGAAGTGTGTTAAGTTGCTCATAGAAGTAAAACCAGCTTACTGGAGTTTGGTGTCTGTACTAGAGCGCAAATCCAGATAAATGTGCACGTACGCGGTATCTCATTGTAATACTGTGAACACTGCTGCCTCTCAGCCGTGTGTGAACAGAACCTGTTAAGGCGGTACATTGGCTCTGTATAATATGTAATGTATGAGCTGTAATTTGTCAAACTGTATTACCCGAGGGACAGGGAGAATCTCTTGCATAAAGATGTGCAGTAACATGTTAAATGTAGCTAGTTCAGGGGATATTTCCTCATGTACGTCAGGAGAAAATGGGGGCCCTTTTGGCCTTGAGGGGAAACCGTGCCAGTTAGTTAATGTGTAAATCTGGAGTATTGACGAGTGTTGGGAGCGTGTGAGGGATTCAGCAGAAGCAGGTCACGCACACATGTGCTTAGTTGCTGAGTATGCAGTTAGGTAGACAGATAAGGAGAGAAAAAATGGAAAGGGCATGTCTTAAAGGGGGTAATGCACTTCAGTATGTTGCCTCTTTGAGCTACAGCTTGTCTCTGATAAATGATCAAGTCATACATACAAAGGAAGACACTTCAAGTTTGGACTTCTGAAGCTGTTTGACTATGAAAGGAAGTGGAACAGAACCTAAAAGCCAGGTTGAACAGAAAGTAACATGTTTTTATCCGATGCTTAAAGTTTGAGCTTTTTATAAAATAATAGTCTATTTCTGTGGATATTTTTCTGCTTAACATTTATTTTGTACATGATTTTTTTTTCTCCTTATTTTTCTGTCCTATGCCAAATAAATTTTACTTTTATTTAATTGGTGCTGTAGACCGTTACCCTGAAAAAGGCCACGGCCGCTTCCTCACGGGAGCAGGTTTCAGCCAAGGGGAAGAGGAGGAGGAGGAGGAGGAGGAGGAGGAGGAGGGTGATTGCGATGCCGGCGGCAGCGGGGCTGGCTGCTGCTCCGCTCTGGGTGCCCTCCTTTGGCAACGCAGGGGAGGGATGCAGAGGACATCGGGCTTCTTCCATGCTGTTATGGTGAGACACTCGTAGATAGAGAAACAATGAGTTTAGCTTTAGCATAAAGAATCCGAATCAGTGATTCTATCCTTATAGATAGTGGTTGTTCCTACAGCTCTTTGGTGAGTAGAGGCTGTAGCCATTAGTTCTTAGTGTAGATTTTTCTTCATCTTATCTCCACACACTAGACACAAGGCTTCCAGAAAATAGTATGTATTTTCAAACAAATGAAATCCTGTTTTCAATCTTGGACATGAAGCTTTTTCAATAATTTGGTCCCGTTCCAACACAGAAAGACCTTTTGATGAAAGATTTTTCATCAAAAAGGCCCAGAGAGGGCTCAAATTTGGGTTGTACTTTGTCAGTTTTTCCTCAGAGATAAGAAATATCCATTGAGACCCTCAGCATAGCTCACAGTGTCTCCCAAGGAGAGGCTTCTGCTCTACTGAGACATGAGCAGCAGATTTATCCTCACACAGGTGGTGGATGCTCTGACACCGGTGGAGGCTGCTTGTTACTACTTCATTTTACAGGCTGGCTGGGGAGGAGACCCCCACCTCTCCGAAAGGCCACAGGCAGCCGTGGCTCAGCTGCAGCCTATAAAAACCCCTCAGCCCAGGTGCAGGGGCTGTGTGAGGTGGAGGAGGCAGGAGCTGGGAAGGAGCAAGCTCAGAAGATGGATGAGCTGGTGCAGAGCTCTGTGGCCTTGGACCAGGACACCCAGGTATGACTCTAATGGTTGTTCAGTAGGCCTCTTTCTTGGGGGTGTTATTAATGGAAATGTAGTGCTTTGGATTTCCAAGAAATTAAATGGTGTGCCTGACTTTAGGAAAAGGGAACCGAACTAAGCATTGTCTGGCCACAGTTCAGGCCTTCCTTCATTTAACTCAATGAAGTTTCTTTTCTTAAAAGAGAAAAAGTTAGAGAAATAAATTAATATTTGATGTTTTCTCTTTTCCTAACTGCTGTCTAGAGTTGGGGGAAGGCTTGTGTACTGCAAGCATTCATGTAAATGCCAAACACTTTTGATTATGGTTCATCCCCTTGCAATGACCTCCCTGCTGTGTTGGCCTAGGCTGCTCCCTTCTGCCCTCCAACCAGCCTCACCCCACCTTGCACAGGAAATAGCAACTTCATCTTGACCAGTTCTCAGTTTTGGGGGTTAAATATTGGCCTGGTTTGTAGGACAATTGATGTATTATGTAGACTAATTATTGAGCTGGAATAAGAACCTCTTAGGGTTTTTTTTTTTTCTCTCTGGCCAGTAAATTTATGCAGCAAATCTTAACAGCTGCTTCTGTTAGCTTAGATTCTCCAAAATTACTCAAGTAGGTAACATGATTAAAGCTTGATTTTTATGAAGTTTCATTTCTCTCAGAGCTCGTACAGACTTTCTTACACATAATGAAGTTATTTATCTTATGCTTACAAAATAGCTTGTCTGTTTGCCTTTATAATCCTCCTAAAAATTTTGGGCTTACAAAGAAAAAGTCTCTCCCCATGCACAGTAATTGCTATCTGAAAACAGCCATGTTTGGACTCCACTCCCTCTTTTGAATACACCATGATAAAAAATAGAATTGTAGACTAAATTAAGGCCTTAGTAATCTTCTCTGTAACCTGCTGTTTACTATGTTTTGTGGTATCTGGGCTTCTTGCTCCATATGTGTTTACACAAATAAAAACTGCTAATCAAAAACTTCGGCAAAGCATAAAAGCAAGTGGACTACTGCTATGTCTCCCCATGGTAGATACTGTGGCAGTGCTGGGAGTGAAAAAAAGAAAACAATTTTGTCCAGCACTAACATCAGTGGCTAAAAGCCTTGGAATACATGGATGGTTAAATCTTTTGACTGATTTACAAGGTCTTAAAGATGCCCTTGTGAGCAAAATGGTTGCCCTGTGTCCTAGGATGATGTAGCAGCTCCCTGGCACTTGGCTTTATTAATAATACCTTATCTTCCCCATAAAAGCTCAAAGTATTGACTCTGTTGTAAGCTTCTGGGGGTGTTTATCTGTCACCTCTCTCCCACTGCAGTCCTGTTCCTAGGAAATCTCCTAACACAGGTTTCATTGGTCTGATCCATCTCCCATACGAGACCCTTGGCAGGCAGCCCTCCATCACCTCCCGAACCAGCTAAAACTGCTTACTGGGGCTCTTGCAGCCCCCACGGCCATACAGCTGTGATTAATGGGAAAGCAGCTACTTTGCTTGTATTGCAATAGTCAGAACTTTCCCAGAAAGGATCCGAACTACATGGCAGCTGGATTCATTATTTTTTAATTATTTTCTGTTTTAAAAAATAATCCCACTGATTTTTTTCATGTCTGATTGAAACATCTTTAAATATTTGAATTTTTGAGACCTAAGGATATTTAAATGGAATTAGAACACCATCTTTTGAAACATGCTTATGACAGCATGTGTTTTTCAGCATTAGCAGTCATGCTCTTATCTTGTCAAAAATTCAACACAAATATAAGTGCAAAAATAATCTTGAGTAAAGGATGACACAGAAATACTTTAATTCAAAAATGTAGAGTATTAGCAGCACCTGCCCAGTTTATTCTCTATATGTCCAAAGTCAATCTGTCTGTTGAATAAAAAGGAGCAAATTAGATAAGCAGTCTCTACTTAAATATTTTAAGATTTTAAGATTGAGGAATTAAAACATGGCTTCCACAGAAGATGCATTAAAAATGTAAAATAAAAATCCATCATGGACACTGTCTATGTGATACCATCAAGCCCCCTGGCCTGTTAAAGTAGGCTGCTTTTTAGCATTTGTAAGCTTTGCAAATGTAATTTGTAAGCATTTCTGTTTCTTGTCATTCCCTGGCGTGTAAGGAACAGACGGGCCCGTGTGCCAGGCAAGGTCCAGCTTTCCCGCTGGCGCTTGCTGGCATCCCCTAGGCTGGGCCTTGTGGCACAGAGAAGGATCCTTGCGGTGATGCTTCATTTTCCTCCTCGTCTAAAATAGCAGTTTTCGCTTTTTCTTTTTGGCCAGTACCTTGAGCTGCTTATGAAAACCAGGAACTGTTGTTGGAAGATGCCCCGGGAGAGGCTGTGTGCTGCCCTTCAGGGGGCAGATCCAGCCCACAGTTGTGCCTGCGGCACTGAATGGTGCTTCAAATGCCATAAAATACATCTTTCATCTGTGTTTATTCCAAAATATTACTGATTTAAAGACAAAGCTGTGCAAATCAAGCTCTAAGAAGATTACTACGTATCTACCATGCCAGGACCTTCATTCCTCTGTCTCGTACAACGTGTCAGGTAGCGCATGGGAGACCTGTAGACCCAGTTTCTCAAACAGGAGCAGCTCCTGCCCGAGTCACCTGCATTTCTTCTGAAGCAGCTTGCTCGGAAAGCGAAGGCGGCGTTTTCAAGGAGGACACTAGATGGCACTTTTGACTTCTTTAACCCAATTTTGTGCTTTCTAGCCGGGGGAGAGAGTATCTTTAATGACGACCTTGTCAAAACCTCGGGATCATGTTGGCTACAACTTTCTTACTACTGTTTTGCGACTTGTAAGTAACCAGTTTCACAAGTTGTATTTAGCTGTAAAAACTGTGATTGCTTTTGGTTATAAACATATCTAAAAATATGTTTTTGGTTTTTTTTTTTCATTGAATGTCTTCTGATTCTCAGTACAGTGGCTTCTTTAGCCTAGGCATAAACCTCCTGATCCATGACCCAGTTACATAACTCTTGGGCAAGTAAAATCCTTGCCAATGGTATTTTATGCCAATACTATGCAAGTATTGGCTTAAAAATGATGCAACAGAATAGCTCGTATGACTCTACGCTGTTTCACTACAACCTGAGAGCAATGTGCTGTTAGGGCTAAACGAAGCCTAGAACAGCAGCTGGGGCAGAAGGTAATAATTACAATGGATACATTTATTGTAAATGTCAAAGGGAATTGACAATGTTGCAGTCTTAAAAGCACTGTTTGCTTAAATATTAGTCAAACAGAAAACAGTCAAACTGAAGTCCTTGGCAATTCGTGTGAGATTAAAATATTTTCCATAAATATAAATGCAGTGTCAAGCTGGTAAACATAGTCAGGAAAAGGTATAAGGAAGAAACATTGGCAGGGAAGACCTGGCAGAGGAACACAGGTTAAGTGTGAGGGAGAAGGGCTATGAAAGTATATGTACAAAAGCTTTGTGCAGAAGAATTCAAGAAGATGATGTCTGTCAACAGTTGTGAAAAGAAGAAATCCTATAGCAGGGTGAAATAAAAGAGGAAAAAAATTGACCATTTAAATCTACTGGAGTTCCCACCAAAGGAGACTGCAGTACAATCAATACATCTTTGGGTAATGCTTAAACTGTGTTTGTAAAGGAAACAAATTATTTGAAAAATAGTATAATATATACCATGATTGCAAATGGAAACTTTGTAAGTGGAGAAGACTGTATGTATTTGGGTCATATTCTGAAAATATAAAACTTCTGATTTCTGATGCAAAGGGAAAAAAAAAAAAGTGGTTTTTATACCTTCCCTCCCACACTGGTAAATTTGTTACTGACTTTAAGAATATGCAAAAAGTTCAGACAACTTTGTCAGAAGTGGCTTATCTTGAGCAACTTGCTTTAACACAGTGTTCCTGAGCAAATAAGCACTTAGCGGCCTGTGTTTGCTGCTGATAACTGCTCCCAGTTTGTCTTTTGGAGGCATTGGGCTGAATTTGGCTGATCTCAGAGCTACCAAGCAACAAGAGCACTGAGAAGGCACAAGGATTGGGCTGCAGACGTCCAAGGGAGCAAAGAGGCCTTCTCGATAGGAGCCTTAACTCTTATGTCCTATTCTTAATTGTTTCACCACCTACCAATAGTCGTGTGAGTAATGTGAAAAATATAAAATATTATATAACAGCTAGCTCAATATATAATGCAAAGTCATAGGTATATGCATTTCTAGCCATAATATGAGACAAACGGAGAAGAACTGATAGATATTACACAGTTTAAGCATTTCTGTGAAGTGGTTCGTTTGATATTTGACCGGTCAACTTGTTACCTCATGCCTGAGCCCTTGTATTTCACTTCATCAAACCTTTTTGCTGAGCCAAGGAGCCATCTGCAAGTTGGCACCCTATTGCCATGCCCAAATCTAGATGTTTATGACAGCTTTGCAACGTTATTTTGTTTTCCCTGAAAACAATTTAAGGAGAAAAAAGAACAAAACTTTCATGCTGCTGATATCAGTAAGGGCTATGTTACTGACAGCAATGGAATCTGATTTAAATTATTTCTTTTTAACTTTGCCCTAGTGAGAGACGTTTATTCTGTACCAGTAGCATGTCCATGTCTTCCACACGTAACAGGTAATGAGTACAGTAGAGTAAACGTTCACTTTGCAAGACCAATTCTAACACCTAGAGTATCTAGCAAAAAATCAATCTGCTGTTGCCAAAATACCAATTAAGTTCTGGATAGTAATGGGTGCTACTGTGAAATCCTTGATGAGGAGATAGATGGCTTTCAAAAGGAGGAAGACGTTTTACCTTGAGAGTCTTTTGTAATCAAAGTGAACGTAAACACATCGGTAAGTTGTAAGTCTGTGAGTAACTGTGCTGGCTAGGCACTCTCCTGACCACTGGTTTCATTGCTCTTGGGCCACAGATGCTGGATTTCTAAAGCTGCTTAAGCCTCAGAAGTCTGGGAATTTCTATTTTCATGGGATTTTAGGGCATTTTCCCTTTGACACCCCATGCAGGGAAGATAATGTCCATGGACCCATCATCTGTCTCTATAGGTGGATCTGCTGAGGTTGCATGAGCTGTTCAACTACGCACCCGAAGTATCTGCATGCCAAGTCATCTCTTACTTTGCAGTAAGCGGGTGAGTCAGTCGAAGTGATCCAGATACAGATAAGCACTGCATATTGTTGTTTCCTAGTGACTGTTCTCTGGTAGCTGTGTAGGATGTTCAGAAACCAAGTATCTAAACTAAAATTTTAGATAGCCAGACCTAGATAGGCATTTTCAGATTCAGTCTGCTTAGTAAAGTTAAGATAGAACATGTCACATGCATTATTTTTCATTTTTTGTTAAGCAACAGGCAGTCTGAGGACAGTGTACATTCCAGTAATAAAGTTACAAGGCCATGTTGTCTGAATACATAATACTAATTGTCATATGGGATTTGGCTGTCAGTAAGCATGCAGTGTTTAGTAATTTTTTTTCTGTAATTGACTGTAGGATTACACAAGCAATGGGTTGAGAGATTAGCACTTCTTAGTGCACTTCGGGTTTTTTTTTTTTTTTATGTTATGGAAAACCAGCTGTCTGGGCAGCTGTCTGGAAATCACACTCATATTATTTGTTTCCAGACATTTCATCCTTTTGCATTTACCAAGATCTAATGTCTGCTTGTCCTCTGTATTCTTACTTGGATCTGTTCTTAGGAAAGTCACTTTCTGGTAAAGCATTACTCAGAGGTGATACTCTGAGCATCAGTGGTATTGCATTTTCCAGTTGATGTTGCTGCTTTGAAGTATACCCGATGCTTCCTACTAAAAGTCATTGCAGTCTTTTACTAATCATTTGTACCTTAACAATTTGGAATTTTCTGTGCTAGTTTGCTAACTTTCTAGAAAAAAATATAAAAAAAAAAAACATGAACAACTCATGTTCAGTGTTTTCAGAGGTGAACTGGCAAATGTACTCCCCTACAGAAAACTCTTGAGCGCTCTTTAGAGGACTCCAGCATTTCAGCTTTTGACACAAGCACCTGAAATTCACTAATAAATTCAATAGCTTTGCATCAAATAGAAAGATACACTTGATCTAAAAATCTGCCGAGTCTCATCTGTACACCTTGGAAAATATATTTGCATTTGGTCACTGTTAAATCTTAAGATCTGAATGCTCTGAAGTTTGACCTTATTGGAAGGATCGAACTTCTTACAGCTCTTCACTTATAAACATCTCGAAAGGAAAAGAAGGTAGACTCCATTGTAAACCCTGGCAGCTGAAAAAGAACCCTCGACCCAAAATAGTGCTATGTTCGAGGACATTGTAGAGCATGAAGCTAAGGGGCAAAAATGCCTAGAGAGCTTTGATTAAGTGTTGGCTGGGTGAAGGCTTGTTGAACAGTGAGAAAATGCTATCCTGAGCAGTGCTGGGAAGCAGCGCTTTGGGAATATGCAGGAACACCCTACATATTCAGCATGGTGTAGAGAAGAATTGACTCCAACAGCGAGTAGTCATTATCCAGCTCAAAAAAATGCTGACAAGCTGTTCCCAAAGGTTCCCAACTTGGTGGAGTTTCTTCTCCTTGGTTTCTTCTCCATGTTTCCCAAAACAGGACGTGCGACTGGGCACAAGTCACTTTCCTGTGCTTGCAGCTAGTAAAATTACTCAGGGATGGAAGAGTGTGTGTGTGTATATATAAATAATATAGTAACTGCTTATGATGTTGAGAAGACTCCAGCAGTTGGTTGGTGGGATATCCACAGCGATCAAGGAGTGGCCTCTTTAGCTGAACCTATGTGCTTGTAAAATTAATTCTTATCAAGATTTCTTAGTGCCTTCTGCTGTGCGCTCCTCACTCTCTCCCAGATTATATCCCTCTAGGGCATGTAACTTCTATGGGAAAGAGCTGCCAGGAAAAAAAGCCAAACGTTCTGAAAGATCTTGTTGTATTTTGTACTTCCTAAAACTAAGCTGAACCAGTCTCAAAGCACTCTTGATGAGGTGCTGGATACATACAATTTAATGTGTAATAAACTAACAAATCTAAGTATTAATACATTTACACCAAGGTCTCATCCTGAGAACTGTAGCAGGTGAATGTTAACTGGTTGCTTTTAAAACCTTGCAATGAAAAATACACATTTGTTGCCATAGGCTTGGTGTGGAAACGCATTGATAGTCTTTTCGTTGGGCTGTGTTGGCCCAGGCAAGGGCACAGCCTGGGGCCGAGGAGGATGAGGGGCAGAGCGGAGGAAGCCGCTGGCAGCCCAATCAACACCACGGCTAATTGTTAATCTGCAGCTTTGGTCCAGGCCTATGGTTACACTGCAACTGTGCGTGAATCCATTAGTCACCATCAGTGTTTTCAAAGTGAAATGGAAGCAGGCGTACAGTGCCAACAACACAACTCCTCCTAAGAGTCTCCTAGAGCTCTTGCTCATCTTAAGGGGATTAAGCGTAAGTATTGGGTTTTGTTGTTACTCCTGGTATTGCTGTTTGTGTTTAAGGTACCCCGTTTGGCTCCGGTAAGGCTCTGCGTGTCACTGCACTTAGCAGGTGCCACACCACATGAAAGCAGAGGGTTTCGGTTTCAGGTGGGTTTCATGCTTGCCCTCTGTGAGGCTGTAATGCCTGGCTCAGTTCCCAGAAAGGGGCAGCTCGAATGTCCCCTGCGTCGCCTTAGAAAATGTGGAGGCAGGAGACAAAAGTGGCCCTCGCCTATCCAGCAAGGTAAGCACTGCGTGTCCCCAGATGTTGGTGTTTCGGGGGGAAGCGCTGGCGCGCTGATGCTGGGTGGAAAAGCTGCTTTATTTTGTTGTGTGTGCGGTGCGGCGGTGCTAGGCAGCCCGGTGCGCGGTGCTGCGCGCGGGACACCCGGGCTGAGGGGCGGCCGCGGGCCCC